AATCGATAAAGAATATGTGGTCCGTATATACAATGGAATATTACTCAGCCATCAGAAAGGATGAATACCCAACTTTTACATCAACATGGATGGGACTGGAGGAGATTATGCTAAGTGAAATAAGTGAAGCAGAGAAAGCCTATTATCATATGGTTTCACTTATTTGTGGAACATAAGGAATAGCATGGAGGACATTAGAAGGAAGGGAAAAATGAAGGGGGGGAATCAGAGGGGGAGATGAACCATGAGAGACTATGGACTCCGAGAAACAAACTGAGGGTTTTAGCAGGGAGGGGGGTGGAGAGATGGGTTAGCCGGGTGATGAGTATTAAGGAGGGCACATACTGCATGGAGCACTGGGTGTTACATGAAAACAATGAATCGTGGAGCAGTGCATCAAAAACTAATGATGTACTGTATGGTGACTAACAACAATAAAATTAAATTTAAAAAAAATTACAATTCTACTATGAAAAAAAAAGTTGCGTTCTTGTCTCAGGTTTTGTGTGGATATAAATTCTGAAGTTACTTGGGTAAATACCTAGGAGCACTACTCCTGGATTATATGTTAAGCCTGTGTTTAGTTTTGTAAGTAATTGCCAGGCCGTCTTCCAGAGCAGTTGTACCATTTTGCATTTTCACCATCAATGAATGAAGAGTTCCTGTTGCTCCACATCTTCGTCAGCATTTGGTGTTGTCAACTTTCTGGATTTTAACCATTCAGATGGGTGTCTAGCGATACTATTGCATTATTGTTTTAATTTGCAGTTTGCAGCTCCCCAATGACATATGTGTGATGGGGAGCATTTTCCATGCTTTTTTGTCATTTGTATACCTTTGTTGAGGTACCTGTTCAGATCTGATGTCCACTTATTGAGTTTTGTTATTGTTGATTTTTAAGAGTTCTTTGTATATTTTGGATACAAGTCCCTTATCAGATGTGCTTTTTGCTGATATTTTCTCCCAGTCTTTGGCTTGTCGTCTTGTATTGTTGACATCATCTTTCACAGAGCAGTTTTTAATGAGTCCATTTTTCTCTTTATGGATCATGTTTTCAGTTTTGTATCTGAAAAGTTATCACCAAACCCAGGTCACTTAGATTTTCTCCTATATTCTGGTCTAGACATTTCACGGTTTTGCATTTTACATTTAGGTCTATTACCCATATTGAGTTAAGTTTTATGAAGGATGGAAGGTCTGTGTTGAGATTGATTTTTTTCTCCCCCTCACATAGATGTCTGGTTGTCCCAGAATCATTTGCTGAAGGGACTGCTCTTTCTCCATTGACTTGCCTTTACTCCTCTGTCAAAGATCAGTTGACTGTATTTATGAGGCCTATTTCTGGGCTTTCTGTTCTGTTCCATGCATGTATTTCTTCTATTTTTTGCTAGTGTCACAGTCTTTGTTACAGTAGTTTTCTAGTAAGTCATAAAGTTGGATGGTGTGTATTCTCCAACTTTGCTCTTCTCTTCGGTGTTGGGTTGGATATTTATGATCTTTTGCCTCTACACATACACCTGAGAATCAGTGTGTCCACGTCCACAAAATAACATGGCGGTTTGATTGTGATTGCTTTGAATGTGCAAAAAAGTTGTGAGAACGGACATGTTGGCAGTGTGGAGTCTTCCTGTCTGTTCACATGGAGCATCTTTCCATTTATTCACATCTTTTTTGATTTCTTTCACCAGAGCCTTATAGTTTTCCTCATATAGATCTTGTACGTATTTTGCTAGATTTATATCTTACTATTTCATTTATGTTGGTGTTAATATAAATAGTATTGTGGTTTTTGTTGTTTTTTTTTTAACGAAGTATTTCTTCTCTCTCTTTTTTTAAGAGTTTATTTATTTGAGAGAGACAGAACACACGAGCAGGGGGAGGAGCAGAGGGAGAGGGAGAAGCAGGCTCCCGCCGAGCAGGGAGCCTGACACATGGGTGGGTCCCAGGTCCCTGAGATCATGACCTGAGCAGACATTTAACTGACTGAGCCACCCAGGCACCCCAATGGTATTGTTTTTAATTTCAAATTTCAGTTGTTCATTGCTGGTGTAAATCAAACCAATTGACTTACAGATTAACCTCTCGTATCCTGTTCCTTTAGTTCCTTATTTCTTGAAGAAGATTTTTTTTGGTGTTTTTGTTTTTGTTTTTTGTCAGTTCTTTGGGATTTTCTGCATAGATGATTTTATCATCTGCAAAGACAGTTTTATTTCTTCCTTTCTAATCTCTACACCTTTTTCCTTTTTTTTATTTTTTGTCTTATTGCATTAATTAGGACTTCTTGTATCATGTGCAATAGGAGTAGTAAAAAGAGAACATCCTTTCCTTATTCAAGATCTTACGGGGAAAACATCCAGTTTCTCATCGTTAAGGCTGTTATTAGCTGTAGGTTTCTGTAGATGTTCCTTATCAAGTGGAGGAAGTTCTCTGTTCCTTTGCTGAGAGTTTTTATCATGAATGGTGTTATATTTTGTCAAATGTGTTTTCCACATCTGTTGGTACACCATGTGACTTTTCTTATTTAGCCTCTTTGATGTGGTCAGGGTTACACTGATTTTTGAGTGTTAGACCAGCTTTTCATACCTGGAATAAATCCCGTTTGGTCATGGTGTATAATTCTTTTTATACACTTTTGGGTTTGATTTGCTAATTTTTTGTTGGATTCAGTTTAGTTGGATTTGATTTGCTAATTTGTTGAGGATGTTTGTGTCAGCATTCCTGAGCCATACTGGTCTATAGTTTTTTATCCTGTAATGTCTTTGTCTAGTTTTGGTATTAGGGTACTGTTAGCCTCATCAAATAAATTAGGAAGTATCCCCTCTGCATCTATGTCCTGGAAGAGATTGTAGAGAATTGGTATCATTTCTTCCTTAAATGTTTGGTAAAGTTTACTGGTGCATCTGGGCCTGGTGCTTTCTCTTTTGAAAGGTTATTATTTCTTGACTTAATTTTTAAGTAGATATTAACCTATTCAGATTATCTCTTCCTCTTTGTGTGATTTTTACTAAATCTGTCTTTCAAGGAATTGGTCCATTTTATCTAGCTTATAAAATTTGTGGACAGTTCTTCATAGTATTCCTTTATTATCCTTTTAATGTCCATGTAATCAGTAGTGATGACCCCTCTTTTATTTCTAATATTAGTAATTCATGTCTTCTCTTTTATTTCTTTGTTAGCCTGGCTAGAGGTTTATCAATTTTACTAATTTTGTTTAAAAACCAACTTTGAATTTTGTTGGTTTTCTCTGTTGATTTCCTGTTTTCAATGTCATTGGTTTCTGCTTTAATTTCTATTTTCTTTTTCTTCTATATTGCCTGCCTTTCCCTAGTATTCTAAGGTGGAAGCTTAGATGGTTGATTTTCTTTCTTTTCAAATATATTCATCTAATACTGTAAAATTCCCTCTTAGCACTGCTTTTGCAGCATCTCACAAATTTTGATAAGTTGTACTTTCATTCTCATTTAGCTCCAAATGATTTTGATGTCCTTTTACATTCAGAAACTTTCTCTGGTGCATGGGCATTTGCCAGTATATACAGCAGATAACTCCCTGCCACCTTGTCGTATAGTCAGCTCATTTGTAAATTGGGTTTGGGACGTGCAGAAGGTTTGTTTCTGTGCTTATCATACAGAACTTACAGAGTTCTAGAGATATTCTCTCTCAGTCATCCATCCTCTTTAGACATAGGAATTATTTAGTGTTCTAAAAAAAAACAAAAACAAAAAACATTTTCCAAAAAAAATTCAAACATTTAAAATTCAGTAATTGTCATCTTTCTTTTCTCTGGACTTATAATCCCCATAGAACCTACTTTTTGTGGCGTTCCTTATTTATGACTTCCTTATAGGTCTTTTTTCTGTCTTTATTAAAGACCATAGAGCATCCTACCATTTCAAGGTAAGAAGAAGCTCAGTTGAGAAGCCATCTTAGTATGGCGCATGGCGGACTCTCCCTGATGATTAATGGTCAGGCGGGTGGGCAAACTGAGGCACAGAGAAGCCGAGTCACTTGCAGGTGTCATATAACTTGTCTTCTAACCATCTTCCAAACTGTATTCTGGATCCAGACATTGACGCCTCCAGTCTGTTTTGAAAAGCCCCTCTTCTGACTCTTTGGGATTGCAGTGTGTTGTCTTGTTCATATTCATTATCTCATATGTGACCAGCACAGGCTATCTGATAATTTTGATGGTTTTTATGTACTGCATATATATACTATATGTCAAATTCCAATCCTATGAGAGGAGACATGACATCAATAAAAACATTCCCTTATTCTGAGAGATGATGTAGCCACATTCATACAGTGTATATAAGTTCATTTCATGTGCAGTCCTTCAGAGGGCTGCCCTTATTCCCCCTCAGCACACTGATGGAGTGTTCCCTGGGGGTCAGGCCTGGAGGGCAGAGTTTTCAAGTCTAGCTCCCTTGCCTGCTGCTGGGGCACCTCTGAGAGAGAGTCTTTGCTCCAGAGTCACACACACACGTGCACACGCACTTGCACATCACTGAAACAGGCTAGGCTCCATCCTCAGGATCTGGACCTGAGACGCACCTTCACTCACTTTCCTTCCCTGGTCCTGCAACCCCCACATCCTTACGTGCTTTCAGAGCCTCCTTTCAGGTTCTCTTTCTAGGGACCCCAACCTAAGCAACCTTCTACTTGAGCTTGTCATACCAAAGAAATATTTTAAAAATCCATGAGTGTTCTGTGGTTTCTTTTATTGGAAGAGGAAGCAGTCCCTAGTTAAAGCACAGCTCTGGAAACTGTAATGATATCCACCTTTCTCCTTTGATAATTTTCTAGAACATACGTACATACGGCTTTACCGAGAAACCCAATATATATTTATCATTGACACCACTGCATACTTTACCAAGAAATGAAGGTATTCTGTCATCCCGTCTGCTGGGACATTGGCAGTTCCCTCCTTTGGGTGTGTGAAGTCTGAAAGCTTGCTGAGTGATAGCTAACTAACTCAACTTTGACTTTGATTCTAGGCTCCATGGTCCCCTTTTCAATGCGGATCTTACACGCAGAGCTTCAGCAATACCTGGGCAATCCACAGGAGTCCCTGGACAGACTGCACAAAGTGAAGGCCATCTGCAGCAAGGTAATGATGGCTCCGTGGTGAGCTGTTCGGTCCTCCTCCCCTCCCAACGGAGAATACACCCCAGAGGGAGCATACCACATTACTTCCTCCCAACCCACCCCAACAACCACCATTACCACTTCCCCCAGAAAGGGTGACCCAATTCATCATGACCACAGTTTTCTTTGTTCTTGCTAAAATTGTTTTGGGGGCAGTGGATGTTTTTTGGCAAACCTTGGGGCCTGAAATCCTTCTTCCTTAGTTTTTGTTGTTGTAGAGAAATAATTAACATACAATATTGTATCTGTTTCAGGAGTACACATAGTGTTTCAGCATCTATATACATTAGGAAGTCGTCACATAATAAGTCTGGTTACCACTTGTCACTGTAGAAAGTTGCAACAGTATTATTGGTTGTATTCCCCGTGCTGTCCGTTACATCCACGTGTTTTATTTACTGTCCACCTGGAAGGTTTGCCGCTCTTAATCCCCTTCACCAATTTCATCCATCACCCCCACTCTGGCAACCATCAGGTTTGTTCTCTGTGTCTGAGTCTGTTTCTGTTTTGTTCATTTCATTGTTTAGATTTCACATGTAGGTCAAGTCTTACAAGTCATACAGTATTTGTCTTTGACTTACTTCACTTAGCATAATAGCCTGTAGAGCCATCCATGTTGTCGCAAATGGCAAGATTTCACTCTTTTTACGGCAGTGTAATGTTCCATTGTATATATGCACCACATCTTTTTTATCCAGTCGTCCACTGATGGACATTTAGGTTGCTTCCATATCTTGACTCTTGTAAATCATCCTGTAATGAACATAGAGGGGCATATGTCTTTTTGAATTCATGTTTTCATTTTCCTCAGATAAATACCCAGAAGTAAACTTGCTGGGTTGTACAGTAATTTTATTTTTAATTTTTTGAAGAACCTCCATATTGTTTTCCAGAACAGCTGCACCAACTTATATTCCCTCCAGCGATGCACAGGGCTCCCCTTCCTCCACGCCCTCACCAACACTTGTTATTTCTTGTCTTTGATACTAGCCATCCTGAGAGGTGTGAGATAATACCTCGTTGTGGTTTTGACTTGCATTTCCACAATGGTTAGTGATGTTGAGCCTCTTTTTATGTGCCCACTGGCCATCTGTATATCTTCTTTAGAAAACTGTCTATTCAGGCCCTCTACCTGGTTGGGTTTTTTTGTATCGACTTTTCTGAGCTCTTTATATATTTTGGATATCAGATATGTCATTTGCAAATATCTTCTCTTATTCAGTAGGTTGCCTTTTCATTTTGTTGCTGATTTCCTTTGCTGTGGAAAAGCATTTTAGTTTGATACAGTCCCATTTGTTTATTTTTGCTTTTTGTTGTTGTTCTTGCCTGAGGAGACAGAGCCAAAAAAATATCACTAAAACCATTGTCAGAGAGCTTACTGCCTATGTTTTATTCTAGGAGTTTTATGGTTTCAGGTTTTATATTTAAGTCTTTATCCATTTTGAATTAATTTCTCTGTCTGGGATAAGAAAGTAGCCGGTTTCATTCGTTTGCATGCGGCGTCCAGTTTTCCTGACGTTTATTGAAGACACTGTCTTTGCCCCATTGCGTATGCTTGTGTCCTTTGTCATAAGTTAATGAACCATAGAAGAATGGGTTCATTTCTCAGCTCTCTATTCCATTGATCTGTGTGTCTGTTTTTGTGCCAGTACCATACTGTTTTGGTTTTTATAGCTTGTAGTCCCTGATTTGTTCTGTTCTTTGTTCTTTCTCAGGATTGCTTCGGCTATTCAGGGTCTTTTGTGGTTCCGTACAAACTATACGGTTGTTTGTTCTAGCTCTGTGAGAAATGCCGTTGTGTTTGGATAAGGATTGCATTTTGACAACACTCTGAGGGTCCTCAGCACAGAATATCTTCCCATTTATTTGCATCATCTTCAGTTTCTTTCATCACTGTCTTCCAGTTCTCTGAGTATAAGGTTTTTACCTTCTTGGCTAAATTTACTCCTATTTTATTCTTTTTGATGTAGTTGTAAATGGGATTATTTTCTTAATTTCTCTTTCTGATAGTCTGTTATTACTGTATACAAATGTAACACATTTCTGTATATTGATTTTGTATCCTGCAACTTTAATTAATTCATTTATTGGGTCTAATAGTTTTGGGGTGATGCTTTAGGGTTTTCTATATACAGTATCATCTGTACTTCCTTTCTAATTTGGATGCCTTTTATTTCTTGTCTGATTGCTGCACCTGGGACTTCCAATAATAGGTTGAATAAAAGTGGCAAGAGTGGGCATCTTTAATTTGTTCCTGCTCTTAGAGGAAATGCTTTCAATCTTTTAGTATTGATTATGTTAGCTGTGGGCTTGTCATATATGGCCTTCATCATGTTGAGGTATATTCCCTCTATATCCACTTCATTGAGAGTTTTTATCATAAATGGACATTGTGTCAGATGCTTTTTCTGCATCTATGGGAATATCATAGGATTTTCATTCCTCATTTTGTCAGTGTGGTGCATCACATTGATTGATTTGGGGCTATTGAACCACCCTTGCAGCCCTGGACTATATCTCACTTGGTCATGGTGTGTGATCCTTTTATTGTATGGTGGAATTCAGTTTGCTAATACTTTGTTGAAGAATTTGGCACCTGTGTTCATCAGGGATGTTGGCCTGAGATTTTCTTTATTTTTTATTTTTTTCCTAGTGTCTTTGTCTGATTTTGGTATCAGGATAATTCTGGCCTCGTAGAATGAGCTTGGAAGCTTTCCTTCCTCTTCAATTTTATGGAATTGCTTGAGAAGGACAGGTGTTAACTCTTTTTAAAATGTTTGGTAAAATACACTTGTGAAGCCATCTGATCCTAGACTTTTGTTTGTTGGGAGTTTGATTACTGATTCAATTTCATTATGGTAATTGGTCTAGTATTTCTTCCTTATTCAGTCTTGGAGGAGTATATGTTTTAGGAATTTATCCACTTCATCTAGGTTGTCTAGTTTGCTGGCATGTAACTCTTCTTTAGTATTACTGGTAGATTAAAAGCAGGGAAATACTCTGCTGTGTAAAAATCATATGCCTTAAATGTGGCAGACCATTCTCACATCCTGCAAATACTACAAGCACCTGTCTCACGTCTTACAGAGGCACTGGAACAATATTTAAAGAGATAGTGGTTTAAAATGTTCCAGAATCAAAGCAAATTTTACTGTATAATGACAACGGTCATTCGTAATACTGACTCCAAAGGCAGACAAGGTTCAGTAGTGCTTTCTGAATTGTTCTTGATTGGGAAATAACAGTAATGTGGAAGGCACCAAGCTGCATCAACAAAAGATCCATCATTCCATTTAGTGATATTTGGAGGGAAGATGGAATCCATAGAGTCTCCCTATCGCCAGGCTGTGGGCCCCTCGCCTCCCAGACCCCTCATTCTTAGGATGGAAGTGGAGTGCCTTTCCTGTCTGCCTCGTGGCGCTGCTCTGTGGGTTGGGTGATGCCGTGTCTATGGAGGGCTTTCCAAACTGACGACAAGCAGTGAGGCTGGGAGCAGCACGTTAGCACTCTTTTTAAATGAGATGAGATTCGTCCAGCTCGTCCTTTCTGTTTCCAGTTACTCCTGATGGGAGTTCTGTGGGGGTTCCCAGGGTGGTAGTGTCCTCGGGACTCGTAGCAGGGAGGTACGTGGCTCCTCCCTGCACAGAGTGCACCTCATCTAAGCACAAGCCAGCATCCTGGGCACCTTACACCCTCCAGCTTTGTACCAGCTCCTGGTTTCTAGAACTTCAGAAACAAATGGAAAACCTATTTCCTTTCTTACACACTGATGAGTTGATGGGGAAATTGTGTTAGCCAACATTTTTTTAGATTCTAACACTTTTTTCCTTGAACCCTGAAACCCAGTTAAGGTAGAATTATATTCAGAAATAAGAAACACATAACTTGTTACTGAGAAATGTGAAGTCAGTGATTTTCTACACTGTACACAGATGATCTGCCTCCATATGTACATGAGAGGAAATGCCTAGTGTTACAGGGACTTGAGGGTCGGAGAGAGACAGTTCTGCAGGTCAGTTTTCTGGCACTGAGGCCTCCTGTATCTTCAGTATCGAGTTCCGTAGCTCAGGAGGCAGGGTTGTGGTGGGAGGTGAGGGCGGGTCTTCCACCACCACGGCTCTAGGCTACTCGTACTCCTTCTACTGAACACATCGTGTTCACCAGGAACCAGCCTCTGGTCCTGAGCATTTTTCAAATATTAGCTCATTTAATCCTTACACAAACCCTATAACTAGGGGTTCTGTTATGCCAGTTTACAGCTGAGTGAACTGAGGCACAGAGAGGCTGACTAACTTGCCTGTGATCACATGATCTGACCCAGGTTGTCTGGCTCTGGGGTCCGTGCTCCAGATCACACACCTGCCCAACGTCTCTGCTCCGTCCAGCAGGAGCACGTCTTACTGTGTCTGAAGTGCCCTCTCACACAGGCCGATCCTGGAGTTGGGGTCATGCCTGTGCTCTGTTGCACCGGCTCCCTCCTCAGACGCTGGTGGCCAGGTGATGACAGCTGACTGCTCAGCGCAGGCAGGAGAGGGAAACCAGGTCTCACACCATCACACCACAGGAGCATCTCTCTTAGGCTGACACAGCTTGGAGGGAGACAAGACAGAAGTAGTGTAGGGACCCCTTGCCAGTGCATGTGTGTGACGTGAGTCTCCCTGGTGCCACCTGCTTCTCACCGTGTGAACACCCCACCGCACGTCACGGACGCCATGGCCTCTCGTACGGCGTGACCTGGATGGAAGCCCATCCTTCTCCTGGTGCTTCACTGATGACATGGCAGGTGGTTCTCATTCTAGAAGAAAGACAAGCAGTCGGTCCTGGAAGAGAGAGTGTGTTGGTCTCTGGCCAAAAGGGTGTTCATGGCTAATTTCAACGTGTAATTTCTATGTGTTCCTTTACGTGCCAGCTTAAAACCTGGCCCTACCTCCGAAGAGCGGTAACCCCATGGGCCATGACTGG